CATGAAAATCTGAAAATAATCTGGCAACTCATTCTTTGACCAAAGTGCTAGACCAAAAGGAGATGTAAATATTGTTCCAATAATAAAATGGTGAATTTCCCCCCCCCGATATTCTATTTTGTTACTCTAATTTTATCCTTTGGAAACTGCAAGTCTTCTGTGCTTCAGAAAGCACTTTAGCATGAACTTGAAACAATCAAACAAGGAATCTTTCCATTGAGCTGGTTACAAAACGCATACTTAAAGTATTTTTTTTCTTTCAGAATTCCTGACTGAAGCTCTGAGATAGAGAATATACCAGAGTATCTTTGGGGTTTGATTTTGTTTTAAAAAAGTTGGATTTTACTTACAAAGCAAGTCATTTATAGTGTTGCCAGTGTCACACATAGCATGTGCTCTAAAGTCTGTCTTCTTCAGCTGTTACAATAATAAAGTATCAAGATGATACAGGTATCAATAAGCACACAAGATATTTTAAAAACATGAATTTAAGTTTCAAAGAAATTTTATGAATATGAGCTTTTACTAAAATACTTACAGTGTGAGGAAAAAAAAAGGTTAAAAAATACCACTCCTCTTAGGTGAAACCTGTGCCATTTTCTGTATCAAATTAATACTATTCTTAATTGACATTATCTGTAGTAAAATAATTCACTTAAACATATGTTGTAACCTGATCAAACAAAAAAATTAAGTACAGCAAAGCAAAATATCATGAAAAAGTAAGTAAATATATTCACTCTAGTAGGGTGTTTATTTACAGGTTTATTTGTTATGGGGTAACCTCTTCCATCATCAGTTTGTTGGATTGATAGAAACAAGTTCTATTTAAAAAATTCATTAGTTTTAAGCTAACTTGCCCACATGAAATCACTTTTACAAATCTACAATTGAACCATTTTTTATTGCATACTATGTGTTAATAAGGTCAATTCTAAGATTCAGCTGCAAACATAGCCATCTTTCGGATGACATATGGCAAGATCGCCAACTCCTTTTAGCTTTGGAAATTTACATCTGCCTGTTCATTCAAGATGTTGCTCATACATGTGTTGACAAATACAGAAAACAGCAGATGGCAAAAAGCAAATGCTCAACATGAAAGACTGTAGATCATTTGAAAATTATTTGGACTCAGACATTTGCCATTTTTAACAGCAGAATACTGTTTCAAAATAAATTCCACCATCTATTATGCTTAATGCTAATGAAGAGCTGTGATCAGAACACTGACAGTTACAGAATGAATGCTATATAAATTGCAATTGGTATCCAAGATGCAAGTTGCTTTATAACCTTTAGGATTTTAAGATAATTAGCACAGTACAATTCTCCAGGAGCTTAACCTCTGCTGCTGCACATAAGCCAGAAAACTTTCTGTACTGACCACATAATTTGACACGAAATCTTTTAATACGCAATACACAGCTGTGCTCATCTGCTAGTCCAGCCTCTAAACTGGAGTTACTCTGGTGATTGGTTACTACCATAGGACCTAAAAAACATGGGTATGTAGACCTGTTCTCTGCCTGCATGAGTAGTACTACTACATCTATCATCACCACCATCTCCAGCAACAGCTTTAGAAAACCAAAATGAACAGTGTGTCAGGGATGTGAAGCTGTCAAGAACTCTAACTTGGGGAGCAAGGCAGCTAATTTGTCTAGATAGGATACACAGGCAAGCCAAGAGTTCCACCCAGTGCTATACTTTCTACTAACAATGAGCCCTAGATATCTAGCAAATAATACCAAAATGGAACAAACATACAGCACCTCCCTTATATATTCCACTATTATTTGGAAGTCTGTAACTACTGAATCTCTGAACCAGAGAGAGAATTTTCTGTGTTAACATGCTATGGTACACTTTCAAGAAAGTCTTAAAACATCTTCAACCATGGAATCCCTTGGACTCAACGTCATCTGTGGCAGTAAATTTCACACTGTAACTCATCATGGCTTGACTTCATGAACGAAGATATGGGAAGGGCTTTATCCACTACAAGCGCGCTGATGACTAAAAAGGCCAATGTGGGATAGGCAAATCCAGCTGCAAAAAGCAGTGAAAGGTCTCCTTGAGTAGTATAGGTGGGGTGCGATTCTCTCTACATTGTCTTTTCTCCTCAAGACTAATTCTTCATGAGTTCTCAAAGGAGAAAACAGTGTTATGGAGTGACCAATGTCCTGAACCGCCTGCATGCAGGCACTTCCAGTGCACCTTATCACCTGCCGTTTCGTCCCTTGCCTGTCGCTACAGGGCTTTGCAAGTGTGAGTAAACCCTTCGGGCCTGCGCAGTGGATTTATTTTAGGTGAGGCACAGCGTGTGCAGAACTGGCCTCACCCTTTACACCTGAGGTTTATCTGCCAGGGCAGAGCGAGCTTGGACGGTGACAGCAAAGTCCTCAGGTCATAGGTTTGATTAGAGTATCCTTCTCTTAGATGGATGGCCTTACAGGGCTATACAAGCTCCATCTGCCCAGGTTTGAAGTTGGAGTTGTCCTTCTCCTAGGATGGTTGTCCGAAGGCTAGTGAGCCCATCCTGCCCATGGACACACTTTGACCCTTCAGTTGAGATCTGTCTGGCATGGGAGACCCTACTGGAGGCATATGCCACCACCAGCATAGCTCCCAACCTCACAAGGGCACGCAAGCTCTTTCCTCATGACAAAGGGGTGCCCGTGAAAGAGACATTGTAACTATGTTTTATGTATATCACCTTTTAGTGAAGGCATGTACTGTAGCTTCTGGTCACTCCTATAGCCAATGAGGTTTTTAAGGTAAAAAAAAAAGAGGTGTTTAAATACCACCATGCTTGAAAAGACTTCAGACTGACTGTACGAGGTGCTCTGTTAATATGTAGACAAACAAGTAGAGTCTGTAACAGTTCAGCTAAAATAAAAAAGATGACTATAGGGAAACAGGATATGGTAATAGCAACTGACAAGCAGCAGATCTGCCTTGGAGAAAACACCTTCAAGTAAACTGGAGCGCCACTTTTTAGTCAAGAGATCCATCTCAGATAGCAAAAGAATTCTGATCCAAACAGCAAAAGGGAGAAAAAAAAAATAAAATCTTCATTTTCTCTTAACATGTCTGAGTTTTCAAATAAAGAGCACTAACCAATCATTTTGAAATGTACAGGTTCTGAAGAAAAGCTTGTATATTGAAATAATAGTTTCATCTTCTAAAACTATAGCTGTAAACAGACAGTCGTAAACTCCAACTATTCTCACTTCATACATTTCACAATAACTACACGGAAGTACAACGCTATAACACAAAAGGTCAGTTTTAAGTAAAAAAAAAAAAAATCACACAGGAAAAGCACCGTTAGTTTCAGTTCTGTTCAGAGTAAACAGCTCTGAACAATAATTCACATAATTTTAATTACTTTAGTATAGTTAGATTCATAATGAAAGAAATATATTAATTCCATTACAGTAGTCACTTTAAATTAGCTCCCTACCTTAACCGAAAAAGTGTTTACACCATAGTCTCCCTATTGTTTTCATTACAAACAAATAGTTCATTATTAATATTTGAGTCACGTTTTACTAGTAATTCAGTAAAGCAAACATTAGGAGATCCAAGAAAACAGCTATTTCCATTAAGGGCAGAACTAAGCATCTTGGCTTCCAAAGTGATTCTTATGATGTTTAATAGTGAGGGCTAAGAGATTTAGATTCCACCTGCAAACACCTCATACAGTGTCAAAATTTAAAACTCAACGTACACAGATCCGTTTCAAAGAAGTTAGCAGGAAGCACTGAGGAGTAGATGGACAGCAGGATTTCTTAGCAAATTCAACTGAGGAGTAAAAAAAAAATGGGGAAATTTGGAACATACCAGTGAAATGACCATTAAAAAAGTTTTCACAGGAGCTAGAAATATAATAAATAATGAAACAGCAAAACCAAAACCCACAAAACCAATCAACCAAAGAAAAACCCTCAAACCCACCCATTAAATTTCAACTCTAACAAAACTCAGTTTCTGACTTTGTCTTTACCTCACTTCAAAATCCCAACTTAGCACATTCAAATCTAACAGCTCAAACCAAGCAAGAGCAGCTGCACATGTACTCTCTAATGCCCTGCCAATACTGACAGTCTAGCTAGCAGCTAGATAAAGAAATATATAAAAACTGAATTCTGCTCACCTTTCTTCCTATCAGGCTGCCATTTTCAAGAAACAGGAATTTAGTTACCTTGGGAACTCTATCTGCTTATCAAATTTACCTGAAAATGGTCAGCAATATATAAAAAAGCTCACCCCATTTTCCTCAGAAAGCCAGGCCAAAGCATCTTTTGAGCACAAAGGCTGAATTCAGAAGAAAGAGTAAAACAGAACCACCAAGAACTCTATGAAGTAATCTGATAAAGGTTCAAAATTTTAATGCAGATAAAGCAGGAATACAGGAAAAATTAAGAGAATTTACAGAACAAGAAGTCGTAATGTATGACCAAGGGCACAACTCCACAAAAATGCACCAGAAACTTTCCAATAAAATCAATATTATTCTATTTTCCTCCTAGATATTTTCTATTCCATTACTGAAGAAGGAAGAGCTTCACTTTGCTCTTTGCACCTGGTCTTTTTATATTCAAGGGTTGCATTCACCACACACAGCTGTAAGTACAACAGTAAATATCACAAGTATCAGTTACTAAATTGCATGACCATGTGCTACAGTGATCTTTTTTGACTGGTGCACCTGAAGTGCCTGGCTCAGTTCATTCATGAATGTTTAGCAAAGCTGGGAGACATATCTGTGTTTTGGAACTGGAACACCACAACCCCTCTTTGCAAAATATAATGATCACTCAAACTCCAGAAATTTATTTCCAACTTAAACCAGCCTCAGTGAGCTGGTATTATAAATATACTCAGATAAACCACATATATACCAAAAATGTAGAAACAAAACCGGCAATTATTATCTTATTAGCTCATAATATTTTTTTTTGCACATCTTAAAATAACAATAGTTTACTTACTAATAGAGCGAGTTTTTGGTACTTCCGTTTTAGTTCTGCCAGACTATCCGATGGCTTAGCACCCAGGATTTCATACCAGTCCTTTTGTGTAATGCTTTCAAAGGCCATAGTCTGACTGGCTTTGAAATTATTTTCTTGGCACTGTGTAAGAAAATTTAATAAATATAATAACATTATGAACAAGAAAAAGTTAGAAAAAGCAAAAATGAGTTAATGTGACAAGCTACAGGACCATGAAATCACACCTCCACCACTGTGTAAGATCTATAGCACAAAAAAAACAGGCTGTTCCATCCCCCAGATTGTCATGCATGATTTAAGTTACTTTGTGCTTCTGATCCCAGTTCCTTAGTGTATAATGCTTCAGAAGCCATCCATGTGCCTTTAAAATAATTTTGTATTTGAACTACTTTGAGTCTACCCAGGTTATATAAGCACTTTACATATATATATATATATATATATATATATATATATACACACACACATACACACACACTTTTTAAAATACTTTACTTTGAAGCAGTACTTTACCGGGGGGAGGAAGGGGTTGTAAGAGCAAGTAGTGACAGGGCAAGAGACAACACATTTAAACTGAAGGGAAACTGAGATAAGATCTTAGGCAGAAGTTCTTCCCTGTGAGGGTGGTGAGGCCCTGGCACAGGATGCCCAGAGAAGCTGTGGCTGCCCCATCCCTGGCAGTGTTCAAGGCCAGGTTGGACAGAGCTTGGAGCAACCTGGTCTAGTCAAAGGTGTCCCTGCCCATGGCAGGTGGGGTTGGAACTGGATGAGCTTTGTAAGTCGCTTCCAACCCAAACCTATGTGTGAGTCTATGACCCTCCTTCACCCTGCTAGGTAAGAATGCTTAACTTCTAAAATATTAAAGTAGAAAAGTATATTAAAAACCCAAACAAAAATAAATTAAAATCTATCAGTTTAGTATCATCATGGCTTGACTTCGCAAACGAAGATTTGGGAAGGGCATTTACCCACGCTTACTACAAGCGCGCTGATGACTAAGAAGGCCAATGTGGGATAGGCAAATCCGGCTACAAAAAGCACAGCAGAAGGTCTCCTTGGGTGGAACAGGTGGGACACGATTCTTCCTGTGTTGTCTTTTCTCCTCGAGACTAGTTCTTCGTGAACTCTCAAAGGAGTCAGCAGCATTATGTATGGTGTGCCTCCAAGTCTCCCGATTGGAGGCCAAGGTGGACCACTGATGGTAGTCAATATGGCCAAGGCTAAGGTATTGTTTCAGGGAGTCCTTATATCTCTTCTTTGGGGCACCTCTCTTGCGGCTACCGGTGGCAAGTTCACCGTAAAACACAATCTTGGGGAGGCGGTGATCCTTCATTCTAGAGACGTGCCCTGCCCAGCGCAGCTGCAATTTCAGCAATGTGGCCTCGATGCTGGTGACCCCTGCCTGTTCGAGGACAGTGACATTAGACACATAGTCAGTCCAATGGATGTTTAGAATTGTATGGAGGCAGCGCTGATGAAAGCGTTCCAGGAGTCGCAGGTGATGACGGTAGATGACCCATGATTCAGACCCATATAAAAGAGTAGACAATACAATGGCTCTGTAGACACTGATCTTTGTACTTTTCTTCAGGTGTTTATTACACCAGACTCTTTTATGGAGTTTTCCAAAGGCTCTATATGCCTTTGCTATTCTGTTGTCTATCTCTTTGTTGATCGTGGCATCCGAGGAAATGATGCTTCCCAGATAGCTGAACTGCTGAACTGTCTTAAGCTCTGACTCGCCGATGGTAATATGGGGATGGCGATAATCTTCTTGGGGTGCAGGTTGGTAGAGGACTACTGTCTTCTTCAAGCTGACTTCCAGCCCAAAAACCTCAGCCGCCTCCGCAAAGCAAGATGTTAAACACTGCAGAGCTGCTTCTGTGTGGGCAACAAGGGCGGCATCATCAGCAAAGAGCAGTTCACGGACAAGATGGTTTAGGGTCTTAGTGTGGGCCTTCAGTCGCCTTAGATTGAATAGGCTACCATCGGTACGATATCGAATATAAATGCCGTCTTGTTCGTCGAGGTCTGCTGTAGCCCTTTGGAGCATCATGCTGAAGAAGATTGTGAATAAGGTTGGTGTGAGAACACAACTTTGTTTCACGCCATTGGTTATTGGGAAGGGCTCAGAGAGTGCATCACCATACCTGACTTGGCCTTGCTGATCCTCATGTAACAGAATAATCATTTTCAGGAACTTGGGGGGACAACCTAATTGTTCTAAGATCAGCCACAAGCCTTTCCTGCTCACAGTGTCAAAAGCTTTGGTGAGGTCAACGAAAGTTACGTATAACCCCTTATTCTGTTCTCTACACTTTTCTTGCAATTGTCTGAGAACAAATACCATGTCTGTGGTACTTCTATTAGCCCTGAAACCACACTGACTTTCAGGTAGAAGTTCTTCTGCGATAGCAGGTACTAGTCTGTTCAATAGTATTCTTGCAAGAATTTTACCAGCAATGGAGAGCAGAGTTATACCACGGTAGTTTGAGCAGTCTGACTTGACACCTTTTTTCTTATACAGAGTGACGATGATTGCATCACGAAAGTCTGATGGTATTTTGCCTTGTTCCCAACAGCACACAACTAGCTCATGAAATTTAGCGTGAAGTGCTTGGCCTCCATGCTTCCATATTTCAGGTGGGACTCCGTCAACCCCAGCTGCCTTGCCAGTTTTCACCTGCTGTATGGCCTTAAGAGTCTCTCCCATGGTAGGGGCTAAATCCAATTCGTTTTTCACCGGATGTTGCGGAATGTGCTGGATTCCTTCGCCTTGGACTACACGATTAGCACTAAAGAGGGTTTGAAAATGTTCAGACCAACGATTCAGGATGGAGATTTTATCTGTAAGAAGCGTTTGGCCATCTGCACCAAGTAAGGGGCTTTGAACCTGGAATGTGGGTCCACACACTGCCTTCAGAGCCTCATAGAATCCTCTGTGGTCACCCAAATCTGCACATAGTTGAGTCTTTTCTGCTAGGTTGACCCACCACTTGTTCTGGATGTCTCTAAGTTTCTGTTGGAGTTTGCTACATGCAAGACGAAAGGCTGCTTTTCTTACATGGCAGAGTGGCTGAGCGAGGTGTGCTTGATGACCAGATCTCTTTTTTGTCAGCAATTCCTGGACCTCCTGGTTGCTATCGTCAAACCAGTCTTTGTTTTTCTTTGAGGAGAACCCAATGGATTCTACGGAGGACTGCAGGATGCTGTTTTTGGTATGTTGCCAAAGCGCTTCAGGAGAAGAATCTATAAGTTGGTCTTCAAGCCTAGTTTGAAGGTTAGCCTGAAAGCTGTCCCTCACTGCAGCTATTTGAAGATTATCAACATTGAGCCTCCTCCTTGGAATGCCACCCCTCTTAGGTTTGGGCTTGAAGTGGAAATTAAGTTTGCAACGCATGAGGCGGTGGTCTGTTTGGCATTCTGCACTAGGCATCACTCTGGTCTGGCAGACACCACGAATATTTCTCTGGCGTACTAAAACTTAATCAATAAACTGCCATAACATTGGCAGTTTAGTATAGGTCGCTAAGTAAAACCTAACTAGCTAAGTGTTTTTTATTTCTGGCCACCTATCAAGCTAATGACTCAGAATTAAAATAAACAGAAGAATTGAATATTACTAATAGCACTGTAATGCTTGAGCTCTGAGCAGATTCACTGATACACTGTAGCTGATTTATCATGAACTTTTTGACTAGAAATAACACCATCAGCCCAGAAGAGCTTTGTAAGTCTTCAGGTTTTGTAAGTCTTACTTACTGTTGGAAGAAAGGGATTTTTTATTTTTTTTTCCTCCATTTCAACACTAAACTTTCTGGTGACTACAAAATAAATCGTTCTTTCAAGGGATAAGAAAAATGGGTTTTCACACTTGGCAGAACTACAAGCATAAGGAAGGCACACCACACACACACGCCTTCCCCCACGAAAATCCCCTTCATCGCAGAGCACCCATCAAGGTTTTTAAGATCACACCACGCCGCCAGCACCGCCCGGGGCCACGCTTCCCCGCCGGAGCCCAGCCGCCCCGCAGAAAGCGGTCGCTACGCCCCAGCGGGCCCACTCCTCAACAGCAACTCCGCGCCGACCGGCACGGCTGACACAGGGGCTCGGCGGCGGGAGGCGACCGGAAGAGCCCGGCGAGGGAGGCCTGCGAGGCCGCGGAGGCCCCGCAGCACGCCGCGTCCTGCCGGAGGCTTCACAGCACTACCACTACCGCCACCAGATCGGCGCAGGAGGACCCCCACCTTCCCGCCTAACTTGCTCCCCTCCGCCCATCTCTCCCCGATCGCTAGCACTGACGATTGGCGGTACAACGCCCCGCAGCTACACCGAACACCTACCTACCCTACATCGCCAGCCCGTCGATGAAGGCGGTCGGTACTTTACATAACTCGTCCGGCGGGAAACAAACCCTTCCAAGTGCCGCCTTAGCGCCTTTAAGTTTGAGGAGGGGGTGGAGCGAGAGAGGGAACAGTGGAGCCTGTTATTTAAGGGGCCTCCTTCCTTGTTTCTCCTGGGGCAGTAATGGGGTTAGCACCGGGAGGAAATGGAGATGTTTCAGGGGTTCTGCGCCGTCACCATGGTGACTGGTAGCGCTGCACTGGGCTCAGTAAGTGACGGCCCCGGCCGCTCTCCAGTGCTCGTTCCAGGCCCGGGGACAGCACGTTTAACACAGGCTTTTGCCTCAGGAATTCTGTCTCCAGGTGCGAGAGGACACTGAGGTCCCTCTTGTCTTCCCTCCGTCCTTCTTTCTCCCTTACTGCGTGGGGGTCCTTCTCCCTTCGGAGACTCCGCCTCCGGGACGTACCGGGTCCGTTTTGACTTTCATTGTTACAGCTCACCCGACTCGGGCTCAGCGCTTAGCTCCGGAGCCTTTTGGTTCCGCTGAGTGCCGAGGGAATAGGGAACGGGCCCGCCGGCCCCCGGGGGCGGCTCGGCATGGCACTCTGCGCCGGGCTCTCTCTGCCCAGCTGCTTCGTGTAGGGAGGGTCCGGGAGGAAACTACGGGCTTAACCGCTTGCTCGCCTCCCTTACAAGCTGCTCGGACCTGCTAGTTTCTTTGTAGAAAGTGCTTGTCCTAAGGGGCAAGGAAGAGTATCCTC